CATAGTTCAAGGATTTAGCACTCTCTTTACACTAGGCAGATATCAGAATAAGTTTACTATCTTGTTTCATGCAACAGTTCTGAAAAGTTAAAAAAATATTTTAGTCTCTTAAAAGATGAAGCAAGAATTTTATTTATGAAAAAAAATAAAATTGTAGATGTGAAGGGTTTCTAATAGCGATTGTTATTTTATATTTTGATGAATAGATGAATGCAAAATCTGAATTGATAGTCATAGTATATATATACATTAGCAGAGAATGTGAATTTGACCCCTGTATTGGTTAATATGTATTTATTCAACCCCTGGCAGATAACATAATTTTGATAAATGTAAATTTTCAGAAATGATTTTGTTTATGAAAATAGTCTTCTTTTAAATAGAATTTTCTTTACAGGTAAAGATGTATTTCTTCTTTGCATACCATTTTTGCCCTTTATGGAAGTCATTGTGTACTAAAGGCTATATGAACACAGCAGAAGAAGAGTCAGTTTATTGAGCCAGTTGACAGAAAGTTGCAATATAAATAGCATACTGTTTCTGTGGTAAATCTGTACATATCCTGATTTTACGAGACATATAACGTACTTGAACGATTTTTATGATAGACAGCATATGATTTCTGATATTTATGTATCTTTTGTCTCATTTTCTGCGCAGACCTTGTCCTCGGCCCTTGGAGAGGAGCAGCCAAATTTCCCGGGATCGAGATCAAAATGGACGGAGAAGCTAGAGTTCGTTCAGCCAGATCTCTACGACGGAATTCCTGTCTATCGCGTCATGAACAGGAAAGGAGAGGTTATCGACCCTGCTTATGACCCAAAGGTTTGTAGTTTGTTTAATTGAAAATTGAAAGGTTAAGATTGTTGCTAGTTACATCAGTGTATGCAATTAAGATATTTGTTTGTTGTTGCCAGGTAAATGTACTGTTCACTGTAGATTATTTGTTTATTGTTGCCAGGTAAATGTACTGTTCACTGTAGTTTATTTGTTTATTGTTGCCAGGGAAATGTACAGTTCACTGTAGCTTGTTTGTTTATTGTTGCCAGGTAAATGTACTGTTCACTGTAGTTTATTTGTTTATTGTTGCCAGGTAAATGTACTGTTCACTGTAGTTTATTTGTTTATTGTTGCCAGGTAAATGTACTGTTCACTGTAGTTTATTTGTTTATTGTTGCCAGGTAAATGTACTGTTCACTGTAGTTTATTTGTTTATTGTTGCCAGGTAAATGTACTGTTCACTGTAGTTTATTTGTTTATTGTTGCCAGGTAAATGTACTGTTCACTGTAGTTTATTTGTTTATTGTTGCCAGGTAAATGTACTGTTCACTGTAGTTTATTTGTTTATTGTTGCCAGGTAAATGTACTGTTCACTGTAGTTTATTTGTTTATTGTTGCCAGGTAAATGTACTGTTCACTGTAGATTATTTGTTTATTGTTGCCAGGTAAATGTACTGTTCACTGTAGTTTATTTGTTTATTGTTGCCAGGTAAATGTACTGTTCACTGTAGTTTATTTGTTTATTGTTGCCAGGTAAATGTACTGTTCACTGTAGTTTATTTGTTTATTGTTGCCAGGTAAATGTACTGTTCACTGTAGTTTATTTGTTTATTGTTGCCAGGTAAATGTACTGTTCACTGTAGTTTATTTGTTTATTGTTGCCAGGTAAATGTACTGTTCACTGTAGTTTATTTGTTTATTGTTGCCAGGTAAATGTACTGTTCACTGTAGTTTATTTGTTTATTGTTGCCAGGTAAATGTACTGTTCACTGTAGTTTATTTGTTTATTGTTGCCAGGTAAATGTACTGTTCACTGTAGTTTATTTGTTTATTGTTGCCAGGTAAATGTACTGTTCACTGTAGTTTATTTGTTTATTGTTGCCAGGTAAATGTACTGTTCACTGTAGTTTATTTGTTTATTGTTGCCAGGTAAATGTACTGTTCACTGTAGTTTATTTGTTTATTGTTGCCAGGTAAATGTACTGTTCACTGTAGTTTATTTGTTTATTGTTGCCAGGTAAATGTACTGTTCACTGTAGTTTATTTGTTTATTGTTGCCAGGTAAATGTACTGTTCACTGTAGTTTATTTGTTTATTGTTGCCAGGTAAATGTACTGTTCACTGTAGATTATTTGTTTATTGTTGCCAGGTAAATGTACTGTTCACTGTAGATTATTTGTTTATTGTTGCCAGGTAAATGTACTGTTCACTGTAGTTTATTTGTTTATTGTTGCCAGGTAAATGTACTGTTCACTGTAGTTTATTTGTTTATTGTTGCCAGGTAAATGTACTGTTCACTGTAGTTTATTTGTTTATTGTTGCCAGGTAAATGTACTGTTCACTGTAGTTTATTTGTTTATTGTTGCCAGGTAAATGTACTGTTCACTGTAGTTTATTTGTTTATTGTTGCCAGGTAAATGTACTGTTCACTGTAGTTTATTTGTTTATTGTTGCCAGGTAAATGTACTGTTCACTGTAGTTTATTTGTTTATTGTTGCCA